GACCTGAGCTCCATCAGACTTGCCCACAAGATGGCAGCTACAATCCCGTCCCCTGACCGCATGCAGGAGGAGCCGGGGTCCATGGTCTCTTCTGAGGTCTCTGATGTGCGGGTCACTGAGAAGTACAGCAGAGAGGAGGCCCTGGCAGGGCCATCCCCCCACCTTGCCCCACTCCACGACGCAGACTGCAGAGGGCGTGGCGGAGAGATGCCTTCGCCTTCCCAGGAGGCGCGTCGGGGTCCAGGAGGAGGTCGGCGGTCTGGAAGCACTTCTGCCTGTCCCCGCTGGACAGCTCCAGGGCCATCTGCGTGCACTGCATGAACGAGTTCAGCAGGGGCAAGAACGGGAAGGACCTGGGCACCAGCTGCCTCATCTGGCACATGCAGAGAGCACACCGCTCCATCGTGCTGCAGGAAAACGGGGGTGGCTCGGGCACCCGGCCCGTGTACCCCATGCCCGCCACCCTGCTGCCCACCCTGCTGCCTCCAGGCGCGGAGCCGGACTCCATGTCGTCCTCTCCAGGAAAGCTGGTCCAAGAGTGCCCCTCGGCCTCCTCGTCCCCAGACGGGCTGGCTGAGGACCTGCCTGGGGACCCACTCGGCTGGGACATGTCCGGCTGTAGTCCTTCGAGGACGTGGGCGAGGCTTCTATGGGCGCCTCTCCTGAGAAGCAGCAGGCCAGCGCGGGGAGCCCCAGGAGGTGCGAGCCTGGTGCTATCTTCCAGCAAAACAAGAAGGTCATGAAGAGGCTGAAGTCGGAGGTCTGGCACCACTTCTCACTGGCCCCCACCGACAGTCTGAAAGCTATGTGTCGCTACTGTGGCTGCGACATCAGCCGGGGGAAGAAGGGGGATGTGGGCACCAGCTGTTTGATGCGGCATCTGTACAGATGCCACCCTGAGGTGGCCAGGACCCAGAAGGGCTTTCTGGGTGCCAGTCTGGCGAACTCTCCGTATGCCACTTTTGGCTTTAATTGCAACAACACAGCTTTTGTGGCTGTGAAATGAAACCTGTAAATAGGAGGTGGAGCTTAAGCCATCCTGACTGAGCAGTTTTAACTGCAGGTTCTAAAAATGTGTCAAGGAGTGGAGAGAATATTCTGGAAGCTAACTGTTTACCACAGAGACAAAGAGTTTGAAAACAAAACTGTGCTTGGGCAATTCACGGAGTGTGCAGTTGCAGTGACGTGGTCACGGACACAATTCTGATTCAGGTCTTTGCATTCAGGGTTGCATGGTCCGTTCATTCCCTCAGAGGTCCCCAATTGTCCTGACTCCTTGAGATCCGAGTCCCATGTGTGTCCATGCTGGGGATTCAGCCGGTGCAGAGTGTGGCAGTGCAACAGAGGGCCCGTTGACCGAGGCTCCCTGAGCAGTGGAGCTCTCTGTGCGCTGACCCAGGTGCTGGGACCACAGCCGGGCCATCGAGGTGGTGGTGACCAACAGGGGCGTCTGACAGGCTACAGCGATGAGGCTAGCCTTAAGCGTTTAGATTTTTTTTTAATTTTTTTTTTAAATAGGGAAGATTCAGCTATCACTGGGATATTTTAGAATCCCAGGACATCAGAGTGAAATTATAAGTTGTCATTCTTTTAACAATATGTCTTCAAAGTGTTTGCTTTAACATCTGAAAAAAGTTCCTGTTCTTCCTCACTTCAGACCATTGGGTGCTGTGGGTGAGGCGATGTGCTCCTCTGCCAGGGCCCCCTAGGAAGCTGTCCTTCTGTTGAATACCGTACCTACGCTGGCTTTCAATTCGAGTGGACTGTGCTTTAGTGTATTTATAAATGATGGATTGTTTCTGAAATTAAACTTTTTATTTGCAGTTTAAAAAAAAATTCAAGTTCTTTCATGACATCCCATCTCTCTGAAGACCATTTCTAAACTTTTAAGTGAAAATAATTTATGGCAGAGAAATGTAGATGAATAGGCATGCAAATTGTTTTACAGTGTGTCATTTCAAAGATATGTTCTTCCACCTCACCTCCCCAGCCTAATATCCAAATATAGATGCTAAATTACAAGTAAGTGGCACTGCTGTTAATCTGCATGGCTCTGGGTTTTGCAAGTAGGGGGATTATTGAATAAAAATATCTTGAAAGAAATACTATAGTCTTGCGAAAAGCATTGCATTAAGAATCAGAAAACTTGAAGTTGTATCCTGACTCCCATTCCAAATTGCATCACGGGGCAAGTCACTTAACCTCTCTCAATCTACTTCTCTTCTGCAAAATGCAACAAAACCGACCTCACGGGGATGCAGTGAGTTTTTAACAATATACTGTTCAGAAAGCTTCTAGTCCAAATCTGGCACAGAGCAAGTTCTCAATAAACACTTGAACTCTGCAAGCGCAGATTCATTCCATGCGCTCGGCGCTCTTTCCCCCCATCTCGAGTAGGAGTCTGCGCTCTGAGCTCGACTGAGGCTCCCTGGCTGCTCGCGCTCTTCTCTCCTTCTCCAAGATGGCGGCGGTCGGCGGCGCTGAGGCGGGATCCGGGCGAGCCGAGTGAAGGTAGCGGCGAGCGGAGCCCCC